AAGCTGGATAAAATTTTGCTTTGACATTATCCTGGACCATTTATGATTCGTGTTTATAATCTAAATAATCATAAATAGGCATTCCGGCATGTGTTAATAAAACGAATAGCTACAAGTATAAATATATGTGACAGTGACATACAGTTCCAACTCTAAATATTTTGAAATACTTTTAACATTATCATTTGGATATGATTTGATTTTACGTTATCTCAAATGCTTTATATATTTAGATAAGCTAAAGTGACATAATTGCTAGTTACATTCGACAAGATAAATGGAAATATTACCTAGAGAAAACTATTGAACGTGATAGAAATATAAAACCGCAATAAATGCCATAGCAGCATTGGTCATTTTATAATTTTGTTTACAGCTTGAGAAATCAATCATTTTACTGGTCGAAACGATATCACGCTTTAAATTCTACATATACTGTCATTGGTACCTTTTTTAATGCGTTTAAGGTCGCCGCCGGAAAGCCCATATGGGCGACCATACACTCAAGTCGGGCCATCCTAGAGGGTCCGCCGAGATTTTTTCGCCGATTTTTTTCCCAGCTCTTATTGGTGGAGGAAGACCCCAGGTGCCCCTCCGGGCATTATTTTAGGCACGAGCGGGCACCTGGGTAGAACCACCGACCTTCCGTAAGCCAGCTGGATGGCTTCCTCACATGAAAGGTTTCGACCCGAGTGAGGATCGAACCTACAGCGGTGAGGGACCTGTGTCATTGGTACTGTTGCTATGTTATACAATATAATGCTGAAGAACAAAAGGGTAGACATATCAGGGTTTTGGGTTTTTGCTTATACACTTATATTGTTTCAGACATATGATATATACGGTAAAAATTAATTTCAGCCGATCAATATAGACTGCACAAAATCGCATCGTAAGGTATTATAAATATATTGACTATATGTATGAAATGAAATCTTTAATATAGTATACTACTAACACACAAGAAACCGCATATTATAGATGTTAATTATTATCATTTACAAAGTAAAGCTTCTCAGTGAAAGGTCATATGGTGCATGCTCATCCCGAAAAGCTAAATATAGTATAGTAATGTCTGTCGTATATTAAAGTATGACGTAATTATTAGAAAGAGCATATAATAGTAAATGTGGAAGCTGGAACACGAACAACTTATATTCGATTCACAAAATTAAAAGAAAACGTAGTTAGAAGCATATCCGTAAAAGAAAAGAAAAGAAAAAAAAACGCTGTTAGATTAACACACATAAGTAAATATAACATGCATGTTTAAATACCGGTCAAATTTTCATTAAAATTGCAAAGTACAGACTAATATTAGCTTTGTTTCAATACTTACATAATTATCTGCTGCATGTACTATTGTTGTGTAAAAACTTATTTTAGTTCATTATCTTATTATTAATAAATGATATTTACTTAAAAGAGTTATAGATCAATCTTGAATAATACAATTAATTACGTGATTTCTTTATCGAGAATTGATTAGTAGGTAGCTATTTACGTAATAAGTAAGCGATTTAAGAACAAATCCATCGTATATGTATATGTTTCAATGAATGTTATGTTTTTTAAAAACAGTACACCAGAGAAACCACCGTCTGATATCAAAGAATCCGAGGTTTACAAAATGTGTCAAGCAGCGGACGCTAAAGGTAAGGAAACTAACGTGTCTGACTTCACTCAAAGTGAGGCCGAAGTGTCACGTGACCCTGTTCTATGTGATCCTGTATCACGTGGTGACAGAGTAAGTGTCCCGCTTGACCAACGACGTGAATCACAAGAAAGAGTATTTTCGCCGCCACCAGGAGCACCTAGAGGTCAAGGGTTATCATTCCGCGTGTTACAATGGTTAACTGATACAGCCGACGATGACCAAATCGAAGGTCAAGAAAGTAGGTCAAAGCACAAAATTAATCTGGAGAAATGTAACCACTCCTGGAACTCATTTCTTAACACAACTATAACCTGTTTCCTAATGTATTTTCTATTTCCTACTTATATCTATACAGTAACGCTTGGGGAAAGTGCTTCTTTCACCGATTCAATTTTCACTATTGACTTTCATTCAATAAAACCTTTCATAGAATTACTTACGATATTGACCTTTACATAATTCTATTGAGCTGATCTAACGAAGTCCTTTCAAATCTACAAATAATTCATTATTCTTCACACAAATACTTATCCTCCTTTCACCATTATGTATGACCTTATATCACAGTTGTCTTGCACAATGTATTTTGCTAACATTTTTGCTTGTTGGTGACGGTTCTTGTTCTTACCTTTTTTCTATGGATTGCTTCAATGTGACATAAAACATGGTGATGGATTTTGCTTTTAGAAATAATGGTAATCTATAGAATAAAGGTGCTGTACTACATGCATACTTTCTGAACTCCGCGGAGATTGGATTTTTCCCCTTTTCCCGTCTTCCTTCATTTTCGTACTGTTGATTACGATTTTGCATTTTTGATAAAACATTTTATATTAATATATGCATAAAAAGATTTAATTTCGATTCAACAGTTTAAATATAGTTTGTTTAAATCTAAGTAGGTAAATGAAAATTTCATTACTGTTTAATGGTATAATTAAATGTCATGTTTCTGAATGAAGTGTTTTAACTGAATTGTCGAGTTGATGTTAATTTTTATAAGCAATTTAATGAGTCTGACTTGTGGTTGTTTTGCGCATGATCAATTACTGTTAACGTGAGCTCTCATTTCCCTCATTAAAGGCTACAAACCAAAGAAACCACGTGATCCATTATTACGTCATAACTCAGAAGATGACGAAATGAGGTTTTCAGGCCTTCATACAAAAGCCGATTTACCATCAAAAGCTTTTCACAGGCTAAATAAAATGGTTGGTTCAGACAATCTGAATACCGGTTCAAACCAGACAAACAATCGAGGAAACGACGAGAATAATGGTAAGAACTCATGGGATGAAGTATATATCATATATAAACGTATATCAAATATAATTATATCAAATGATAATCTTCTATATCTTACGATAATCTATCTTTGGATTCTTTGTCGAAGTCGTGTAGTTGCTAAGGTAAGTGTTGCAAACCTTTGTGGCAATGCAGTGCTTTTTTCTTCTGTGATGCTTGAGATCTGAAGTTTTTTCCCTCTTTGTTGCTTTTTTGTAAATTTATCCTTACTGCACACTGCTGATCCTAAATAATACTAAAAGTCAGCCGTGAACCTCATTCCAAATGAATGTGATAGTAAAATGTGTGGTGAGTATTTCATCACAACAACATCATTATCATTATAAAAACATATTACAGAGGAGCCCGAAAGAATAGGAAATTATAATGAAGCGTCTATAAGATACAGAGGTAATCATATTCCATCACCATCTTTCCGACTACTCCAGACGCTTGCAAAGGAAGACGATTTGAGGAAGCAGTCTGGTTCTCGTAAGTATAATGTTATCCATTTTGCTTAAGCCAAGTTCATAACTCTGTTCAATTTATCGTTTTTAGTTAAATACCCAATCCTTTTTGAATTGTTGGCATTTCTTATGTTATTGTAATCAGCATGGGCTTAAATGGTATTCATGTGATACATTGTCATAAATATGAAGCAGGAATATATGTTTTATGTTAAAGATACGCCTCTTCTTTTACGAATGCATATTCTTCTCCACAGTCTATTGCATCTATATTTATCAAATTATATATAAACTTTATGATCTCTTTTAGAATGCAAATCAATAAAAACGGCAATTGCAAAATCTTATGTGGCATCTGTTTGGAGTCTTAGATTTTATTCGACTTTGTTGTTATTTACGATTTGTTTATTTTTGTGAAAATGTTTATAACTTGAAGAAGGTTGCATACATTTTCATTTATAAACAACGCAAATGACCAAAATGTTTTTTTTAATATAGACATGTTTTTAATCATAAATGCAATTCACGAAATTCCAACGGCCAAATTAACTGAAATATCTAGCGAATAGCTAAAATTCTTGAAATTCTAGAATATCATTAATTTTGAGGTCAAGGACCTTATTAACTTATCTTATTTCATTACATTTTTAGCAAGTTTGTTTTATCCTATACTCGTTATGGATGGAACGCCTGTTGTGAGAATACAGACATATGAAGCAGTATTGACAATCATATAAATTACATAATACTTCTAAAAGAATTAGAGTGATATGGTTTATAACCATTGGCTAGTATATCAAAGCGAGCGGTCTTGTGTAAAATTCGATGTTTTACAGTGTGTGGGTGTCCATTAGTTATCCGTTTTAAATGATCACGCACTGCAGAATAAGTATTGTTCTCGAGTCTTTAGGGACTAATTTCTGTGACAGGAAAATTACATCGACTGCCAAGCTGTCCAGTTCTATTGTAATACATTCATGGTATTATTTAACATCGAACGTATTCAGATTGATGTATAATTTGACAATATAGCAATTAATATCAACCTCTATTTTGTGGAGACAAAAAGATTACTGCTGTAATTTATTGATTTCTTTCAGTTAAGTATGTTTTATTGCATATTTTTAATCTCATAGAAGAGCTATTTGGTGACATGCTTATATTCACTACAAAAAACTTATGATTGTTCCGTTTACTTTAAAAAAAATGTTTATAGATGAATTACCTATAACTGGCAGAAATATAGCAAAGCATTATGCACATTTGTACTCATTTAAAAGAGTAATTTATGTAACAATAAGTTTGAATCAAATATTGTATTAACAAAAATACTGTGGTGAATTAATACTGTTAGCATTCTTAGCATTAAATTTTCATACAGAGTATTTGAACAAACTCAGTTTGTATTAAAAAAACTTCTGATAATTTAGAGTTATATGCTTATTTGTGTAACTATCAGTAATTCTAAAGTTCTTATACGTTTCTTTTCTTATATATCATTATCATACACATTTGTTGACATTGTGATGTCGCCACGTTTATGTGTTGTATATTTTAACCTGATGTTGAATGTTTACCCCCTACCTGTATAGCTTCAAGTCGTACAATTAGTGATGACGAAGATGACGGTATGCCTGATAGACTTAACGAGGAAGACATGGTTGATAAAAGGTACACTGGTGCTCATATACCATCCAAGTCTTTCAAGGCACTCCAAATGTACATGGATGACGATAAAACTGGTATGTCTTGACCAACTTGTCTGATTTTCATAATTGTGATTTAGGAATAAATGAAGACTTCCGAGATCAAAATGTATTGATATAGATTCGCAAATTGTTTTATTTTTTTTTATCTTTTTGTGTTTCGATATCTTATGCTTTGCTGCAATGTTATATGAAGTATTTGTGTGTAAGATAATGAAATTATATTAATTTTTAGTATATGGTTAGTTTTTCGTGGACAAATGACCTCAAGTATTGGTGAAATGGAATGTATTTTTGAAAATGTATTTTAGTATATTAACTGAACCATTTTATGTTTCTTGGGGAAATTTTCTTTGCTACATGAAAGCATTATTTCGGCAAATCATAAAAACCTTTGCCACAACTCCATCAAAAACTGATCATTATTTCATTTCGATATTTATTTGATAACATATTTCCATATGAATAATTATGAAAAATCAACCAATATGAAAGAATGGGAGATGAGAACAAACCTTTTTTTCAATTGACAAAATGTTCTTAGCAAAAGGTATTTGATCTTTATAATTCATCAATTCGTCAAATTTATCAGGTGATAATTATAGTATTTCTTTAACAATGTAGTTTTAATCTCTTAATTTGAGTATGTACCACATTCAAGTATTTTATTTTTGTTGTACTATAGATCTTTTCAGATATTATATTAGCATTGGATGCAGAATTTGCAATAAACTTAGATGTTTTACTCTATGACCATTTTTATAGTAAATGGAAAAAACTTTTCCACCGTCTGATAGTAATAAATAGAATCATCCTCAAGAGACTGGACCGTTGCACTTGTCAATGCGATATAATTATGAACGTAATATTAAAGAATATTCTATATATTTGAATAATATTTTTTATATATAAAGGAAGTGAAGGGGATACAGGCGGTCCGAAGATAAAAGTAATCAGCCGAGCCAAGTCACCTAAGATTGCTCCAAAGCCCGACAGACCAGTAAACAGTCCAGTTCCTCAGCCAAAAGAAGCACCGAGCACAGACTTCTAAATTCTCTTGCTAAAATACATATAAATGAATATAAATTCAGCTATATGAATATAGCAAGTGAAATAATAACACTTTTTTCATATGTGCGGCATGAAAACCATTTGAGAATAATAGATTCTTACTGGAAGGTGTCAAAAAAGAAATTTTTATTCTATGAAGTTCAAAAACTGGCGATCAACAACATAAAAGTCGTTTTGATACTAACATAATTATTTGTCTTCTTTCGTGCAGTGCATGCCGTAAATAATAAGAGGATATTTTTTCGTTTGAGTGAAATATGGAATATATTTTCACGAAACATGATAAAATGCCACATATTTTCACGAGCCGGGACGGCGAGTGAAAATATGCGGCATTTTATCAAGTTGAGTGAAAATATATACCATAATTCACGAAAAACGAAAAAATAACCTTTTTATTTAATTTCCTTATCAAAGAAAATGGTTACGAACCCCATTGCTTGCTACGCAACTGCAACTGTACAGCGCGCAGTAATATATTATTGCGTTTTGTTTTACACGCGATATTTGGCGCTACATTGTGACGTCACGTAAACAACTCTTTAAACGTCTGTAAAGCGTTTATAACTGAATTAAAGATATTGGTGTTCGGATTTATTTTCTTAGTTAGACCATTTTCTATCATTCTAGATAGTTTTCAAAACAAAATTCAACAAAAAGTTGTTTTGTATTTCTCAGATTTTCAAACAAAATGGCGAAAGAAGTCCCTTAAAATAAATATGAGTTTCGACTCCGCCCACTTTCATATTTATATTTCATATTTATTTTTAAGAAATATGAAATATATATGACGGATATAGCACCATATTTCATGGGTAAAATTAAATAAAACAGTCATATGAACAACGATTTTATAAGTATTGTCAGATAGTAATAATTGTTTGAGATAAATGATAATTTTTTAATGAAACGTATATTTTGTATATTTTTCAAATAATTAGTTTGAAATTTACCATGTTTTTAATGTTACAGTTAAATTTGATGAATGCCACATTTCACGTTTTTATATCTGATCAGAATGAATGCACATCATCAATGAAAAGTACAAGTGTGTATATATGTTGTTACGATATAATTTCAACAAACTCTAAAGTTACTTAAACTTTAGAAAATAAATGGTTTTAATGGTCAGCCCATCTCATAGTATTGATCAAATTTTTAAATGTAATATGTACTTAACTTGTATGTTTTCAGCTTCAGATTTCTAGGCATATATATTTCTGTCCATGCAAACATGTGTATATAAACATTTGTATATCACATAGACTATACCTTAATATCTAATTAACCTCCCAAGTGTGACGTTTTCATCATTTTTTGTATTATAAAATATTTTCCAACAGATAGGTTTAAATTTGAGTAATAATGTAATATTTTATGCGTGTATTGAACGAAAAAAGAATCGAAAGTGGTGTGTTTGATATCATTGTACAAGTTGATATAGTTGTTTAAATTATTTCTATAAACCTTGTTAATCGTACATATGAGAGAATATATGATTAGATTTAGTTGAGTTCAGCTTACATTTTAGGTAAATATGTTCTGCGCATGTGTTTTAGAAAAAGGATTTGTGAAATGAATGATTAGAAAGGTCTAAGTTTGACTTAATTGAATGTCAAGAAGGAAAGAATTTCTTTTGTCATTGATACTTATTTTGAATGTATAATGTGCAATATTTATTATTAATATATATATATACTATAAATGTAAATAGATAATCATATTTGCTTACACACATATATATGTACATTAGCAGTGCTACGAAATGTTGAATATTATAAACGTTTATTGAATTTGATTTAGACTTATAGGCTTTCTTTCCATTAATGAATCAATAGTTGACCTTTTTTCAAACAAACAACAATTGATTTTCAGAGAAAATGGACATAGCCTTTATAATAAGGATACCAATAAAAAACCTTGCAATACTATAAAGCACCAAAATTTCGCTATCAGTAATGCCATAATATTTTCAAGCATTTACTTCAGTTTCATTTCTTTTACCTTCGTAAAGTTAATTTTTATCTTAACAATTTAACCGGTTGTTAATAGAAATTTCACTGTTTCATCTCTTTTTTTTAAAACTTTGTCAAATATTTGTAGACTTTATGATTTTACATAAATCTAGAGCGACCTCTTCTTGATAACTTATAAAACTAAACAACATATTGATCCCCATGACTTATAATGTTGATTTTTGTCATTTAATTAAACACATTTGATTACCGTGGTGATGTGTTCTACTTACGTTGCCATTTCTTGACATTAGATATGAACAAAGATACAATTTTACATAGCTATAAACTTTTGTTATAATTTTTGGATGATATTATGTTATCACTGCATATTCAATTATTATATTTAAGACTCAATATTTAAATGAATGTAATCGATTAACGAAAAGCTAGCTTTAAGTAATATCACTATTATATTTATATATATCTTTATCAAGAAATAGTTTAAATGTATCTGTATTTGAAATGATAGTATCAGAGTAAGAACGTTTGCTTTCACTGTTTATTTAGATAGATAATGTTAAATCTTAAACATTTATTTATTTCTACCTTGTGTAATTATATTGACATTGGGATGTTAACAATGTCACGCAGTTGAAGTGTTATTAAATCGTCTTTCTGTGATATGTGTTGTCTTTTCTATATACTCTACTATTGGAGAATATAAAAACAAGTTTTCTTTGCAATTTTAACAACAACAGCATCATTAAAACAACAGCGATAGGACCAACACAATCGTAGATTTAATGGATAAAATCATCTCATCATCAGTTAATGACATTTATCTTTCCCCAGGAGCACAGGTGGTGTTGTTTGCATAACAACGCATTGCACGGAGACTAATATTGCTGTCCCCATTTGCTTTCAAATAGCGATTACAAAATTCTTGATATTCTTATTGCTTGAAAATCAAACAATTTTATTCGTCTTTAAAAAGCAAAGCTGGATAAAATTTGGCTTTGACATATCCTGGACCATTTATGATTCGTGTTTATAATCTAAATAATCATTAATAGGCATTCCGGCATGTGTTAATAAAACGAATAGCTACAAGTATAAATATATGTGACAGTGACATACAGTTCCAACTCTAAATATTTTGAAATACTTTAAACATTATCATTTGGATATGATTTGATTTTACGTTATCTCAAATGCTTTATATATTTAGATAAGCTAAAGTGACATAATTGCTAGTTACATTCGGCAAGATAAATGGAAATATTACCTAGAGAAAACTATTGAATGTGATAGAAATATAAAACCGCAATAAATGCCATAGCAGCATTGGTGATTTTATAATTTTGTTTACAGCTTAAGAAATCAATCATTTTACTGGTCGAAACGATATCACGCCTTAAATTCTACATAATTATACTGTCATTGGTACTGTTGCTATGTTATACAATATAATGTTGAAGAACAAAAGAGAAGACATATCAGGGTTTTGGGGTTTTGCTTATACTCTTATATTGTTTCAGAAATATGATATATACTGGTAAAAAATTGATTCAGCCGATCAATATAGATTGCAAAAAAGCGCATCGTAAGGAATTATAGATAATTATATTGACTATATGTATGGGATGAAATATTTAATACTACTAACACACAAGAACCCGCATATTATTAATTATTTAATTATTATCATTTATCGTAAATTTGAATCTACATGCATCCTTTAAGTGACTAACAGTATCAGTATGGATACTGATATTACCATTAATTGTTAAAGGATTTTTGTTCAAAGATAAGGAATTCCAGGATGTACTTTATAGTACTGAAAAATGATAATTCATTCATATGACAGAATGAAAGAGGACGACAGGACTGATGCGTTTTTAACCATGCACATGAAATATTGAGCACACAGAAATAAAAGCAATGAATAGGTGAAAAACAGGCATGTTTTGATTGAGTCTGTCGTTTTTTTTCTGAGATACAAAATGT